CACTTAGTATTTTGTTAAGTCTTGTATAGACTTTTGGATAGAACCTGTCAAGTTATAGTCATCATACTATAGTTGAGCAGCTTCTGATATCACTGTGATTAAAGAAAAAACTACAGATTAACAATATATAACAAATGAAGAATAAGAACAAATTACTGTATATAAATTTTTTTTTGTAATATATATATTGTTTATTTATTATTAAAATTAAATAATATATAATCTATTATAGATGATTATATCACTTTTAAAATCAATATATAAAGTAACTAATATACTTTCTTTTTCAAGTCATCCAACTCTTGGTAGTTTACAAATAGTATTTCATGTAATAATAGAAACTCTTACTAAAGCTCAATATGAATCAGATATTAAAAAAAATATTGCATACAAAATTAATAAAAATCTTAATTCTTATTTGGATGAATTAAAAAGTTATTTTCATAAATTAGTACTACTTGATCTGTCATCCAAGTTTATAACTTTTATAACTGATTTGGATAAGTGTAATGCATATTTAACAATATATAATAGTTATCAATTTTATAAAGCAACAAACTTTTGAATCAGATCAAATAATATTTACATAAAATTATTTTCAATATTGAATTAAAAGAATACATCAAGATATTTAATGAATGAAGATATATTAAACAAATATTTAAATGCATCTGATGAAGATATCAATTATCTTATTTATTGGAAATCAAAATCAAAAGACCTACAATGGAAATCATTTTCTTATATAACACAAGATTTTTTAGTTTTTTCAAGCAACTAGTACACCAAGTGAACAAATTTTTTCTGTTACCAAACATGTTGCTTGTGTTATATATAATCAGTTAAATGCTAAAAAAGTACATGCAAGTTTATGTCTCAAGTCTTGATATGATTCAGGAATTTTTAATTAACATTAGTAACTATGTATAAATACATTTGTTTTTTATACAAGAATTTTTTTTATATAAGTTACTACTATATAACCTAGATATACATATTGAAAAAAATTTGCATTTTATTATTTATTATTTCTTTTTTATATAGTACTGAACAGTAAAAGACATCCAATATTTATTAATAAAAACTTTAAAGTGTTATAACTTTTTTAAAACAGGTTAAATCAAAAAAAGCTCTGACAAATTGATAGATTTTTGAATAAACTACATTTCTGGCAGAGGATTTTTTTTATTCTTTGTTTTAAAAAAGT